CCTGGGGCTCACCTGGCTCCCCTGGCTCACCTGGGGTTCACCTGGCTGACAGGGATGTTGAGCCGGGCCGCGATGTCCTCCACGGTCTCGTTGCCCTCGGAGATGATCCCGACACCTTTGGCGATGGCCTTGGCCGTGATTGGGTGGTCCCCGGTCACCATGATCACCTGGGGAGGGGTCCCAGAGGATTTGGGGAGGGGTCGGGGGGGTTTTGGGGTCACCCCCTGGTCTGGGGACGGATCTCGGGGGGAAGTTTGGGGCTCTGGGGGAGGGCGGGGGGGTCCTGAGGAGGATTTGGGGCAGATTTGGGGCAGATTTGAGCAGAGGAAACCACGAAGGACCAGACAAGGAAAATCCAAGAAAATCCAGGAAGGGTTTGGGGGGTCCGGGGGGATCTCGGGGGGGGGATTTGGGGGTCCCGGGGGCGGCACCTTGATGCCGGCACTGCGGCATTTCCCCACGGCGTCGGGCACGGCGGCGCGGGGCGGGTCGATCATGGACATGAGCCCCACGAAGCAAAGGTTGTCGGTGGCGAAGTTGACGTCGTCGCAGTCGAAGGCGAAACCTTTGGGGTACTGCTCCTCCGGCAGGTAAAAGTGGCAAAATCCTGGGGGGGTCAGGCCGGGTGAGACCCCAAAACCACCCCAAAATCACCCCAAAATCAGCGCAAAATCAGCCCAAAATCACCCTGAAATCCTGGAACTCAAAATTCCCCCAAATCCTCCCCAAATTCCACTCTGGTGCCCAGGGTGAGGCTCCTCCAGCAGGTAAAAGTGGCAAAAACCTGGGGGGGTCAGGCTGGGTGAGACCCCAAAACCACCCCAAAATCAGTCCCAAAATCAGCCCAAAATCACCCCAAAATCACCCCAAAATCAGTCCCAAAATCAGCCCAAAATTACCCCAAAATCAGCCCAAAATCAGTCCCAAAATCAGCCCAAAATCAGCCCAAAATCAGTCCCAAAATCAGCCCAAAATCAGTCCCAAAATCAGCCCAAAATCAGCCCAAAATCAGCCCAAAATCGCCCCAAAATCAGCCCAAAATCACCCCAAAATCAGTCCCAAAATCAGTCCCAAAATCACCCCAAAATCACCCCAAAATCAGTCCCAAAATCAGCCCAAAATCAGCCCAAAATCAGTCCCAAAATCAG